GAGGAGGAGAGGGGGGAGGAGGAGGAGGAGGAGGAGGAGGAGGAGGAGGAGGAGGAGGGGGAGGAGGAGGAGGGGGAGGAGGAGGAAGCTGAGAAAGAGGAAGAGGAGGAGGAGGAGGAGGAGGAGGAGGAGGAGGGAGGAGGAGGAGGGGGAGGAGGAGGAAGGAGGAGAGGATGATGAGGGGGCCCCGTCTGCTCGCGCGGGACTCTCGAGAGGACGTGTTCTCGAAGTACAACTACTTCGTTCAGGCCCGGAGGGCTTTCACGAAGCTGCGCTCCCCGGCTGCGTCTGGTCTGTGGGCGAAGTATGAGACTTACTGCAACGAGCACTGCGTCTTCAGCGAGAAGAACCTCGACCACAACCTCGTCCTCGCATGCAACGATGTCATCACAACCAAGCTGAAGCGCTACATCTCGGAGCCCGACATGCACGATTACGCGTTGTCGGTTCCTGGGTCCAATTTCGCCTGGGCCGTTTTAGGTGGGAGGGGGGGGGATCGGAGGATCGAAGGAGGAGGAGGATGAGGACATGGCAGCGCAGGAGGTGGAGGCGGAGGGTAGAGGAGGGGGAAGGAGGGGGGGGCGGGGGAGAGGGGGGGGAGGAGGAGGAGGAGGAGGAGGAGGAGGAGGGGGAAGCTGAGGAGAGGTGGGGGGGCGTGGGGAATGAGGAGGAGGAGGGGGAGGAGGAGGAGGAAAAGGAGGAGGAGGAGGAGGACGGGGAAACGGAGGAGGAGGGGGAGCAGCCGAGGTTCTTGCCATGGCGATTCCCACCAACGACTCTGTCCCGTGGATCTTGACCAACCGCGCCTCCCTGAACAAGCTCAAGAATCTTCTGGTCAGCATGAAGGAGTCCAAGGTCTTCCAGCTTTCGATGGCGCCGACGCCCAGTGAGCAGCAGCTGCAGAACCCGCCCGCGAAGAAGCGCAAGACCGCCAAGAGGAAAGCTGCGCCGAAGAGGCAACCAGAGGTTCTCGCTGCCCAGAACAGCGATGGGAAGAGCGTTGTGTTCTTGGAGGACGTGCGGAATGCGATCTCCTATACGCTCCAGGGCGTCAGCGATGATATGATCCAGCGCGACCTTGTGTGGGCCCTCCAGGGCAAGGCCGTCTCGTTCGGGCTCGTTGGCCACGTGGACATGGAGAAGGAGAAGGACGGCAGCAGCGGCGCGGCGGCTGCGACGGTGAAGGTTCGGGGGTGGACAGAACCCCCAGCAGTGACACGTCGATTAGTGAATTGTAAGTTGTCGGGTTTTCGGTTCTCGAGAGGGCGCCGTGGCCCTTTGTTTTCCAGGCTTGCTCCCGCCAGGTTCCCTACCCAGGCTCTGCCTAGAAGGGTTCTTGCTCTCTTAGCTTAAAGGGACCAGGCAGTGCTAAGCGCCCCGGGCGGTCCCCCCAGTCCCCGCCCTGCGGTTCCCCCCAGTCCCCTGGGAGCTTTAGCTTTAGCTTTAGCTTTAGCTTAGCTTTAGCTTAGCTTTAGCTTAGCTGTAGCTTAGCTTTAGCTTAGCGTTTCGCTTAGCTTTTCGCTTAGCGTTTAGCTTAGCTTTAGCTTAGCTGTAGCTTAGCTGTAGCTTAGCTGTAGCTTAGCTGCAGCTTAGCTGTAGCTTAGCTGTAGCTTAGCTTTAGCTTAGCTGTAGCTTAGCTGTAGCTTAGCTTTAGCTTTGCTTCAGCTCAGCTTTAGCTCAGCTTTAGCTTAGCTTTAGCTTAGCTTTAGCTTAGCTTTAGATCAGCTTTAGCTCAGCTTTAGCTTAGCTTTAGCTTAGCTTTAGCTTGGCGTTACTGTTGCTACTAATGCTGCTTTCCTAGGGGTTCCAACTCCTAGGTAGGGTCGCACTGGGATAATTTGGGCCTCAGGTCGTGTTCACTAAACAACGTTTGACTAAAGGGGGGTCTGTCCATCCCCGGGTCCATCTCCGAAAGGTGTCTTCGTGGAACACGCTCCGGAAGATGATCAAGAAGAAGCTCGTGAAAGCCCACGCGTTGGCAGACCGCGACCACGTTCAGAAAGACCCGGACGCTGCCGTGGACTCCGCCTCCACGCAGCCTGCGTCGGATTCGTTGGAGCACCAGCAGCTGGACGACGCCCCGATGCCCGTTGGTCTAGGGCCCGTTGCTGCCGTCAAGAGGATGCTGGTCGTTGATGACAAACTGGCGCACCGCCTCAAGGCCTTCGCCAGCGCGGTCTCTGCCCCGAACCAAGGCCCGATTGCGATCAAGAGGACTCACAAGGGATTGGCTACCGCTTGCGGCCTCCTGTGGAACGGGATCGCCACCCTCATGAGCGAGGCTTCCTTCGGCGGGGACGTCGACGTCGTCGCCGCCGTCGTGGAGCTCATCGACTCGAGCGTGATGCAGTCCGCGATTGAGAGGGAGTTCGTGGAGGTCGCAGCCTTGATCTACACGGCTCGCAGCCAGGAGCACGTGGCGGACCTCGCGTTGGCTGCCGAGGTTGGTGGTCGGGCAATGCGACTGCCGCGCCATCGTTGAGCGCTCGCGCGCCCGACGATGCGAGCCGCGCTCTCGTGGCATCGTTGGGCGCGCGAGTGGTCAGCGTTTGCGCGGCAATCGCGCGCGACCATCTCGCCGTATCCGCTAGGTTTCTGAGTTGAGCGACTTGTGGCCAGCGTCGGGTTCCAGCATGGACATCGAGGAGTTCTTGTTCTTGAGGAGCGTCTACATGACCATCTTTCTCGAGGAGGCGGACATCTGCCTCCAGGACGCTGCCCAGCGGATGCAGGCGCTTCCCGAGCCCGACGTTGATAGGATTGCCCGCCTCCAGGCCGCGTCCTCCGCGCTCCAGGCCACGGTGGAGATCTGCCGCAAGTACGAAGCCGAGGTTGCAGCCGCAGATGCCAGGTGTCACGGCAGGATCCGCTGGTGCGATCTCTGGGCGAGGATATGCAGCTGCGCTTCAGCGGCGATCGAGGGCGACAAGAAGTTGGGCGAGGTCCGCGGCGACGTGTCAGCCGTGCGGCGCCTCGCACAGGAGCGGGGGATCACCGTCGAGGAGGGCTGCGCGATCGAGGACATGGACGAGGAGAAGCTTGTTGCGCTGCTCACTGACTCGTGGGCGCAGAAGCGCAGCATGGACGTGAAGGCCCTGCTTGTCGACAATGACGATGGCAATGAGATGTCCGACATCGCCGCTGCCGTGGAGGCAGCCATGGCGGCAGCGGCGCCGGCGGGCGGGAAGAAGAATGCGACCTACGTGCCCTTGAAGAGTCCACCTTCCAGTTCTGTGACATCAGCCTGGGATGCGTACGTATTTGCGCAGAGGGCGTCCGCTGAGATCACCGCGCTGTGGCGCTCGCATTCCCAGGGCAACTTCTTCGACGTGGGCAGCAACTTGCTCATGGAGAAGGCCGCCCAGCCCGGAGCCAGCGCCTTGAGTGGCAAGCCGCGCTTGTACGTCGACGTCGAGGGCGAGAATTTCATGAACCTCCGGCTCTGCCTCATCGGGAAGGTTTCGATCTCGGCCATGGCCCCCGCGACGAAGGTCTCGGACATGTACTGCGCTGGCAAGATCGGCAATCACTTCGTCTACATCTCCCCGACTGCAGGACGCGGGGGGGCGAGGAGGATGAGGAGGAGGGAGGAGGAGGAGGAGGTGGAGGAGGAGGAGGAGGAGGAGGAGGAGGAGGAGGAGGAGGAGGAGGAGGAGGAGGGGGGAGGAGGAGGAGGAGAGGAAGAGGAGGAGGAGGAGGAGGAGGAGGAGGAGGAGTTGAGGATACAAGGAAAGGATGACAAGGGCAGGTAGGATGGGGAGGAGGAGGAGGAGGACGAGGAGGAGGAGGAGGAGAAGGTGGAGGAGGGGGAGGAGAATGAGGGAAGGAGGACGAGCCTGAGCATGAGGAGGGCAGGAAAAAGGAGGGGCGGGAGGAGGGGGGGAGGAGGAGGAGGTGGAGAAGGAGGAGGAGGAGGAGAAAAAGGATGAATAGGAGGAGGAGGAGGAGGGAGAGAGGAAGAGGAGGACGGAGGAGAGGGTGGTCCGATGAGCCCCGAGGGTCCTGATGAGGAGGATGGGGTGGAGGAGGAGGAGTGGAGGAGTGGAGGAGGATGGGGGGGGAGCAGGAGGAGAAGGAGGAGGAGGAGGGGGAGGAGGAGGAGGAGGAGGAGGGGGGTCTCCCCTGTCCCCCCTCATTCTCGGCATCCTCTTCAAATATCCCCCCCCCGTGGGCGGAGGGGGGCAGGTAGGGCGGGGGGGCATAGATAGATGCCGCTGCGCCCTCGTTGCGCCCCTGGCGCATTCACCTTCGCGTGGCTACCGCGCGTTTTTGTCCCTACCTAGGCTCTGCCTAGAAGGGCTCTTACTCTCTGGGCTTAAAGGGGCCCGGCAGTGGAAAGCGCCCCGGGCGGTTCCCCCAGCATCCGCCCCGCGGTGCCCCCAGCTAAGTCACCTTAGCTTAGCGTTGCTTATCATCTCATCTTAGCTGCTTAGCTTAGCTTGTTTCATCTTAGCTTAGTTTAGCTTCATCTCAACTCAGGTTTATCGTAGCTTAGTTTACCGTCATCTTAGCTTTGCTGAGTTTTAGCATAGTTGAGCACAGCATAACGTAGCATAGCGTAGCGCAGCATACCATATCATAGCATAACCCAGCATAACATAGCACGGTGCAGCATAGCATATACCATAGCGCATAGCATAGCATAGCATAGCGCATGCCAGCACAGCACAGCATAGCCTAGCACAGCGCAACATAGCATAGCATCGCATATCATAACATAGCATAGCGCAGTTTAGCACAACATATCATAGCTTAGCCTAGCTTAGCATAGCACATCGCATCATGACATATCATAGCTTAGCATAGCGTAGCTTAGCGTAGCGCAGCATAGCGTAGCATAGCATAGCATAGCATAGCGCAGCATAGCATGGCATAGCATAGCATAGCTAGGGGCTCCAACTTCTAGGTAGGGTCGCACTGGGGTAATGATTATCGTGAGTGTCCTTTCTGTCTCATCCCACCCTCCCTGCTCCCATCCTCTCCCCTGCCCCCTCGAAGGAATGGCGTCCCGGGGCAGCGCCATCTGCGTCCCGGCGTGGTGCCCCAAGGCCATTGCCCCGGTGCGCAAAGAGAGGGGCTCCGATGATAAGCTGACGCCCGAGCCTGTCCTGAAGATCGAGGCCGTCGACGTCGAGGTGGCCTGCAAGAAGCTCGAGATCAAGGTTCTCGTGCCGAACCCGGCGTTCCTGGCCATCCACCGCGCCAAGGTCCAGGGCATCGCCAAGGAGAAGGCCGCCAAGAAGTCCGCCGCGAGGTCCGCCAACGCAGACGGCGACGGCGACGCGGAGGCGGCGGCGGTCGACTGCACCGAGAACATCGTGGAGCTGACCCGCGCGCAGTTCGCGGAGGAGAAGCTCCCGAACGCGACGAGGAATCCACGGGATGATGGGCCGAGGCACATCCTCCGTTGAGCCAGCGCTGAGGGGGAAGGAGGAGGAGGAGGAGGAGCTAGGAGAGTGAGGAGGGAGGAGGAGGAGGAGGAGGAGGAGGAGGAGGAGGAGGAAGAGGAGGAGGAGGAGGAGGAGGAGGAGAAGGATGATGATGATGATGATGATGATGATGATGATGCTGATGCTGATGATGATGATGATGAGGAGGAGGAGGAGGAGGAGGAGGAGAGGAGAGGAGGAGGAGGATGAGGAGGAGGATGAAGGATGAGGAGGAGAGGATGAGGAGGAGGAGGAGGACGAGGAGTCAACGATGAGGAAAACCAAAGGGGGAAGGAGGATGGTCAAGCGGCGCAGGCGCTAGCACCATGCGTGTTGCGCTCGCCGCGCTCGCCACATTTATGTTATTTTGCTCCGGGCGGCCTTTCCGGGCGCATGTGATTTCTGTGGTGGTTGACGTTCACGTTTTCCCGTGTGAGTTTGCGAGCCAGTGAAGTGAAGTTATTCACTGTCGCTGGAGCTTTATGCGTTGCCGCCCGCCGACTGCATATGCCATGCAGTGATGTGTTTTGCAATCGATTGTGCTAAGAGGTCGTTCGTCACAGTTTCGCATGCTGACTTTCAATAGGAGAGTCATCGCGGCTGGGGTGCCGCTGCAGTCGCTTGCGGTTTAGCGACATAGAAACGAGTACGTCAGACTCTCGACTCGAGAGTCGAGCCCTCTTGGCCACGCGATTGCGTCGCATTTCGGTTTCAGTTTGCTGGAGGAGAGCAGCACTCAAACGCTTTGTATGCCAACAGCTGCGTGAATACTCGTGCTCATCATCATCATCCTCATCATTATCATCATCTTTATCTGCATTATCATGGGCCATCCTCATCACCAGCGCTCAGCGTATCATAGTCATCATCATCAACATGGTCACCATCATCATCATCATCATCATCATCATCATCATCATCATCATCATCATCATCGCCATCCCCATTATTCGCCTGGCATCCCCTTAATTGCCATTCCCTTCTCAGAGATCTCATTCATGCATGGCTTCTCCTCCTCATGCTTCCCCTCCGTTTGCCCCCCCTGCCCCCTCGGCCGGCCCGTCGACTCGTCGACTCGGCGACGCCCCGGACCTGGCAGCGGGCGCCGCCCGCGGTCTCCGGAGGCCGCCGCCGCCGCCCCGCCGCCATCCGGCGGATGGGGCGAGAGGAGGAGGAGGAGGAGGAGGAGGAGGAGGAGGAGGAGGAGGAGGAGGAGGAGGAGGAGGAGAGGAGGAGAGGAGGAGGAGGAGGAGGAGGAGGAGGAGGAGGAGGAGGAGGAGGAGAGGCAGGAGGAGAAGAGGAGGAGGAGGTGGACGAGGAAGAGGTTGAGGAGGAGGAGGAGGAAAAGGATGAGGAGGAGGAGGAGGAGGACCTGAGGACGAGGAGAGGGAGGCGGGATGAATTGGTGAGAGGAGGAGGGGGCCGTCGGCCGGGGCGGCCAAGCCCGCCAGCGATCCGAGCCGAGTCGGGCCGCGGCGGTCGTCGCCGCTGCCGCCGTTGTAGTCGACGCCGCCGCCGCCGTCGCCTGCCGCCGCCTTCTGGCTCCTCCTTCTTCCTGTCCTGAGCCTTTCTTTTTTAAATTTTTTCAGCGTTCAGCTCTCCTCAAAAAAGCTGTGTTCTCAAGCTTTGGCTTGTTTGTTCTCACTGTTCCAAAGCAGGCCTGTTCTCTCAAGATGTGTCTCTTTGGAGCGTTCCCAGGGGTCCTCCGTGGCCCCTTCACAATAGATGGTCGATAAGGGCTCCCGGGAACCAAGGAGGTCCTCCGTGGCCCCTTCACAATAGATGGTCGATAAGGGCTCCCGGGAACCGGGCTGGTTCCCGGGGTTCCCGGGGTTCCCGGGGTTCCCGGGGTTCCCCCCGAGGTTCGCAAACGTTTGAAATCAGGAGCAGGCGTCTGAAACCACTCACACGACCTTGAAAACAATATGAAAAGAAGGTCGAGCGCGTCTGATTCAAGAGAAACCAACCCTTAAAGCTTGCATTTCAGCCTAGAAAAAGAGTTCGTATCCTTATTATTTGGATTTCGTAGAGCGTGTCGTCTGTTTGCCTTTTTGAGCTTAATTGTTGTGGGCGATGATATATGAAAACCTCCATTCCTCGTTCCTCCTCGTTCCTCCTCCCCTCATCCTCCTCTTCTTCTCATGATATTATATTCTTCTTACGCTCGCCTCCTCATGATGTTCCCCCTCTTCCTCTTATCCTTATTTCTTCCCTCATCCTCCTCCGCCTCCTCTTCCTCCGTCTCCTCCTCCTCCTGGTCCTCCTCCTCCTCCTCCTCCTCCTCCTTCTCTTCCTCCTTTCCCTTCGCCCTTTTCCCTGCTCTCCCTTTCCCTGGCGGGGGGCGGCCGCGCGCCGCACCGTGGTCAGCGCCATCTGGTCGACAGCAGCCTCCTTTACCTCCTCCCCCTCCCCCTCCCCCTAGGAAAGCAGCATTAGTTGCGATGCTATGTTATGATATGCCATGCTATGCTGCGTTATGTTATGCTATGCTATGCTGTGCTGTGCTATGCTATGATATGCTGCGCTATGATATGCTATGCTATGTTATGCTGTGCTGTGCTGTGCTGTGCTATGCTATGCTGTGCTGTGTTGTGCTGTGCTGTGCTGTGCTATGATATGCTATGCCATGCTATGGAGGAGGATGGACAAGGAGGCTGACCACGTTGTGTTTCCTCTGGAGGCGACTCAACGTTTAAAACGTGTTGACCAACCATTTCTGCAACGTAACGTGACTAACTGTGGAAGGGTGGCATGAAACTGCACAATGCTTTACGTGGCCTTGCAAATCCTCGTCGCTGTATGTCCATGTGAATCGGTGGTTAATCCATAGCTGCAGCTCGCAAGCGTGCTGAAATAAATGGAATTTCGGAGAAAGCTTCCAAAATCTCAAAGACGCGTTCAATGCTTCTCGAGACAATGTTTTGTAGATGGCCAAAAAATGTGTGCAACAAGTCTCGATCCTCGATTTTGCTGAATCCGACATGAAACGAGGCTCTGCTTTTATGATTCTGTAATACTCCGCAAGCAACTGGGCACACGCCAAACGTCGGTTATCATGCGTCGATCCTGAATTATGCTTAGCAGCAAACTCCGCTAACCACTGGACGAGGTGTCGGTTCGAAGCTGCCTTGCCTTTGAATTTAGGCCAATCGTTAGTTGACCTCAATCGTTCCATCGTGATGGCCCCTCTGATGCGGTACATGTTTGGATGGCTCTTGTACCAAGCGTCCAGTTCATTTCGTAAGTTCTCGAGCTGCTTGGCTTGATTTGGCCCCAGTGCACCTGATGCCATTACCTCCAGAATGATATTTCCAATCAGATGCGAGCTCACCCCCAAATCTATTGCATGGAGTATGTCAATTACAACTCCCTCTAAGCGAAGCGTGCGAATTCTGAACAGCCCTGGTGGCTGCTTACCCTCGGCCAAAAGTTGTTCCATATATGTTTGATGAGTCCGAACTGTCAATCTCCATGCGGCATCGGGCCCTGACTGGGTCCATACCAAGGGGCCAGAAGGGGATGCCCCGCACAACCAGCACATGTTTGGCTCCTGCGTGGACGTCGGGAACCCTAGAACTTGGTTGTAAAACTCCCAACCGCGGCGAATCTGAACTGCCGCAGCGAGCCAACCGCCGAGCAGCTCTCGTCCTCCGTCTCTTAGAGGCCTGCCGAGCCAATCGTAATTTGGCATTGTTCCATCCGTCAAAGCATTCATTGCCCATGCGAGCCTGTCCCATAGCGCCTCAAGGGTTCCCTTGACGATGTTGCCTTTCTTGATGACTGTGAAGATGAGCCTCGATTTCTTGGTTGCTGCACTCGGCCTGCAATGAAGGCTGTTGATCGAAATCGTAAATAGCCCATCAGTTTTGTTGGTCGGAGCACCATCGCCATGAATACCCAACCCAATCGTATTACCAGGATTTGTGATATAGTCTCTGATGCCACCGAAAAGCTGCGTATCGTGAATACCTCGCCAAAAATCTCCAATGTCTTCTTTGGGGCCAACGATGTAATCGTAGAATCTGTTTCTGTCCTTGTTCAAAAGAGCCTCAAGTGTATCAATGGGGCAAATTATTGGGTGCTGCTGCTTGGTGTTTCCTGGGCCAGGGATGTCAATCCAGCGAATCCGCGGGGCCTTGTCAGGCGCCCCGACAGCATTGGTCACGGAACGATGTGCGTTAGTCGGACAAAGGCCCGACCCCAAATTGCCGACACCTCGAGCTCCTTGGGCGGACGCTGCCTCGGACAACTCTAGAACGTCCTCGGCGCTGATGCGCCCAGATGACCATTTCTTCGTGACAAGATCGTTGAACGGCCTTGGCTGCTGCGCATCAATATCACGTTGGCTCGCCAATCTCTGACGAACACCTCTGCCTGAAGCCTCGTCTGGCCTCTGGGCTTCCACTGCCTCAGCTGCCAACCTCTGACGAATGCCCCCCTGGCCGCTGGCACTGGGGGCTCCGCCCGAGACCGCCAAGCTGGGTGAACCAGAAGCGCCGCGCGCAACGTCAAGACCCAAACGGTGCTTGACGCCACCTCTGCGCCCCGAACTCATGAAACTCTCGAACCAAGAAACGCCTACATACAGGCTGGGGTTCTCGATGGGGATGGGCGCATGGAGGACGCTGGCAGAGAGCGATCACGGCCATGGTCACATCAATGGCCCAATCAGGTTTGCCTCAGAGACCCTCAGGGTTCTTACTACATCTTGTAGGTCCCACCCGATAAGGCCCAACCTGATTGGGCCCCACCCACAAGGGCCCCGTCGCATAGAATCCCATCTGATAAGGTCCCCATAGGGCCCCAACCCACGGGGTCACACTACTCAGGGTCCCACCCGGCAGGGTCACGCCCGATAGGGTCCCAGCCATAGGCCATGGCATATTGGTAGGCAGCACCCTAGACACTCGCTAGGCTTTCTAGGCCAGAAACCAGCGTCAATGCTTTATGACATGTTGACCGATTTGGGGCTGCTCAGAGGC